GTGGCTCAGTCGATTGAGCATCCAACTCTTGATTTCAGCTCAGGTCATGATCTCTGGGTCCTGGGATCAAGCCCCACATTGGGCTTCATGCCTAGCATGGGGCCTGCTTGAGATTCTCTTTCTCTCTCTCTCTGTCTCTGCATCTTCCCCCCATGCTCTCTTTCTCTCTCTCTAAAAATCAATCAATCTTAATAAATATAAAAGAGGAAAAAGGAACAGATTAACTTTAATAATATATTTTATCGAACCCAATATACTCAAAATAGTATCATTTCAAAGCGTCACCAATATCTTAAAAATATAAGTGTCAGGCAGCCCAGGTGGCTCAGCGGTTTAGCACTGCCTTCAGCCCAGGGCCTGATCCTGGAGACCCAGGATCGAGTCCCACGTCGGGCTCCCTGCATGGGGCCTGCTTCTCCCTCTGCCTGTGTCTCTGCCTCTCTCTCTGTTTCTCGAATAAATAAAATCTTAAAAAAAATCTATCATCTATCTATCTATCTATCTATCTATCTATCTATCTATCTATCTATCTATCATCTATCTATCATCTTCATCTTTGACACGGGGAGTGTATTTCACACCGAGAGCACACCTCCCTGCGTGCGTACTAGGACTACGTCTTAGTCCCGGAGGCTTGGTGGCTGTGCGTGGCCGGGGGCTGCCGTGCTGGACATCTGGGGCTCAGAGGACCCAGGCCTAGAGGGAACCCCACGGAAAGCGGACATACCACCAGGAGGTTACAGGGAAAGGTGATGGAAAAAGAATCGAATACACATTCAGGTTAACTGAAAAGCCAAGATCTTGGAAGAGAGCCTGGAGGGGGTGGCGGGGGAGTGCTAAATGACAATGACTTAAACTAAGATGAGAGACCCTTGCCACTGCCCTTCTCATGATGCCCCAGGTGGAGACGGGCGGAGGCGCTCCGGTTGGAGGCCAGGAGGCAGGATAGTTTCCTATGTGTTTGCTGTTTTGGCTTCTAGCTTCTTCCTTCCTTCCTTTTTTATCTCTCTCTTTCTTTCTTTGTTTCTTTCTTAGTTTCTTTCTTTGTTTCTTTCTTTTTTAGATTTTATTTATTTATTAAAGGGGGGGACACACAGAGAGGCAGAGACACAGGCAGAGGGAGAAGCAGGCTCCCTGTGGGGACTCGATCCCGGGACCGCCCTGAGCCCAGGGCAGCCTCCCAGCCGCTGAGCCACCCAGGAGCCCCTGGCTTCTAGTTTCAGCTCCTGCCTCGCTGCTTCTGGGTGTCTACAGGTTGAGGCCGTGAGGCGTTGGGCGATCTTTTTTCCTTTGAATCTGCAAATCCTGTAGAGTATCAGCAACTACTCCTCAAGCTCTTCAGCACCAGATCATCGTGGCTCCCCATCTCATCCCAATTTTCTGGTTCCCAAACTTTTCGCTGTGTCCGCGTGCAGACACTCTTCACTCCCTGCCCCGATCGACCCCCACCTTTGTCTCACCTTTGGGCCGGATTCCCAGAGACAGAAAAAGTGACAGACCTGAAGTACTCGGTGTCCCCTCCCCCTCCACGACCTGCTCTGCTACTTGCTCTCAGGAGCCTCTGGAGAAACGCTTTAGGATCCCCCATACTGATGGGTGTGGTTCTTCAGCAGGTGCCACATAATTGCACCATGAACTCAAGTCAGCAGGGCTTCTCTAGAACTTTCTGTGCTGGCTCTGGTGGCTGTCGGGAGGATGATGGCCGTGGAACGAGCAGCCCAGGCCTTTTGCAGAATGCCCACACCTACCTCGGAGCCCAGCCAGAGGCTGTTTGCTTTTTCCCCTCAAGTACTTCGCTGGTTCCACGGTCTGTTAACAATCTAAGAGCCGAGTCCTCCTCTAGGGTTACTGAAGGGGCATCTTTTGTTAGGAAAGAAGGTGTGTCATTATTTTGCTCAGGTTCAGACACCTGATCCAAGCCAGCAGATCTCCCAAGGATGCTCCTTTTTTATTTTTATTATTAAAAAAAATTTTTTTTAGGATGCTCTTTTTTTAAAAAAAGAATTTTTTATTTATTTTATTTAGTATTATTATTTTTTACATTTTACTTATTTATCCATGAGAGACACACAGAGAGAGGCAGAGACACAGACAGAGGGAGAAGCAGGTGCCCTGCGGGGTCACTACCTGAGCCAAAGGCAGGTGCTCGACCAGCCACCCAGGTGACCCCCCCCAGGATGCTCCTTAAGTTACTTGCTGAGTTACTTCCTCGAGTGGGCAGCGCCCCGAAACCAAACCAGGCTCGGAGGAACCTGTTTCATGTAAACACGCACAGCTTCGCTCTGTCGTCTTGTGACTTGTGCGTAGATCCAGGGAACCGAGCGGGGACCACATGCTTTCGATAATTCTTTTGGCAAGTAAGCACTTCCTGAAGCCAGGATTTCTCATTATCCTTTCCCTTCCTTTGCTGTGGAGAAAAATACGTACATATTTTGTTGATTGCACTTTCTGAAAGTCACTTGTGTGTTTTTTGGTGTCTGAAACAACTTCCACAGCCAAGAGTGTTGCTGGGGTTACTTTCCCTCCTGTGGGTGAAGTTACTTTCTACCGTGGGAGCTGAAAAAATGACCTGCAGAGAAAAAGGGAGGGTAGGTAGGTCAGGGTGGGTGCCCCCCATGCTCCTGGGGCCGCCTGCCCGGGGCTCCCGGGGCCTGCTGTTCCAGCCTCACCCCTTCCTTCTCAGCTAGCTTTGCTCTCAGAAGCTGAAAAGGGTCATTTATGCCTTAGGTTTGGGGGTTGTTGTTTTTAGATATCATACATGTATCCTAAAAATTCAATTCTTTAAAGTGCTTTTTTTTTTATAAACAAGATTTTATTAATTTATTTGAGAGAAGGACGCCCTGGTGGCTCAGTGGTTGAGCATCTGCCTTCTGCCCAGGGCGTGATCCTGGAGACCCGGGATCGAGTCCCACATCGGGCTCCTACATGGAGCCTGCTTCTCCCTCTGCCTGTGTCTCTGCCCCGCTCTCTCTCTGTGTCTCTCATGAATAAATAAATGAAATCTTTAAAAAAAAATTTATTTGAGAGGGGGCAGGAGAGAGAGCACGAGCAGAGGGAGGGGCAGAGGGAGAAGGAGCCTGATGGGGGGCTGGATCCCAGGGCCCCCAGATCATGACCTGAGCCACCCAGGCACCCCTAAAGTGCTTTTTTAGTATATTGCAAGATTGTACCACCATCACCCCTATGTAGTTCCAGAATATTTTTGTCACCCCAGAAAGAAACCTCATACCCATTAGCTGTCACCCTCCTTGCTGCTGTGAGCATGTCTTTCTGTACATGTTGCTGCGTGGACCTACTTTTTCATCTCTCTTGGTTATACGGTTTGGGATGGAATTTCTGGGTCCTATGGTAACACCACGTTTAACTTTTTGAGGAACCTTTCTCCGAAGGGCCCGCTGCATTTTACATTTCCCCCAACAACGGAGGAGCAGGCTCCATTCTCTGCATCCTCACTCCCCACCCACACTGGTTATCATCTTTGGGCTGCGGGTGTCCTCAGCAGCAGGCAGTGGGCTCTCCGGGTTGTTATTTGCATTTCCATAGTAACTGATGCTGTTGAATGTCTTTTTATGTGTTTATTTCATTGCCTATCTTCTTGGGAGAAACATCTCTTCAAACCCCTTTGCTCAGTTCTCAGCTGGGTTATTTGCCTTCTCGGTGTTCAGAGTGATTTGTGTATTCTGAATATTAGACCCATATCAGGTATAAGATTTGCAAATACTTTTTCCCATCCCGTGAATTTTCTTTTTGCTTCCCCGATGGCTCCTTTGAAGCACACGAGTTTTAAATTTTGAGGAAGTCTGAATTATCTATTTTATTTGGTTGCCTATGTTTAGGATTATTTTTAAGCTACATCACCTCTTTCAGTGTACTTACCTTTTAGATCTTAGCTTTTTTTTTTTTTTTTTTAGATTTTGTTTATTTATCATGAGAGACATACAGAGAAAGGCAGAAACATAGGCAGAGGGATAAGCAGGCTCCCTGTGGGGGAACCAAGTCCCAGGACCCCAGGGTCACACCTTGGGCCAAAAGCAGATGCTCAACCACTGAGTCACCCAGACGTCCCATGACTCCCTCAAAACCTTAACTACTAACAGTCTATCGTTCATCGGAAGCCTTACCAATATCATACACAGTTGATCAATATGTATTTTGTATCCTATATGTGTTATATGCTATATTCTTACAATAAAGAAAGCTAGAGAACAGAAAGTGATATTAAGAAAATCGTAATCATAAGGGAGAGAAAATTTATATACTGCACTGTATGTACATATGTATGTATGTATGTATTTATTTTTAAAAGATTTTATTTATTTATTCATGAGGGACACAGAGAGAGACAGAGACACAGGCAGAGAGAGAAGCAGGCTCCATGCAGGGAGCCCCAAGTGGGACTCGATCCCGGGATTCCAGGATCACGCCCTGAGCCAAAGGCAGACGCTCAACCCCTGTGCCACCCAGGAGTCCCCATATGTATTTATTTTAAAAGATTTTATTTATTTATTTGAGAGAGAGAGAGAAAGAGCATGAGTGGGGTGGGGGGAAGGGTAGATGGAGAGGGTGAGGAAGCCGATGTAGGGCTCAATTCCAGGACCCTGAGATCATGACCTGAGCCCAAGGCAGATGTGTATCTATCTGATTGGGCCACCCAGGTGCCCCAAATATGTATTTACTCTCAGTAGTCTTCTGATTATTTTAAAAACACGCACACATAAAACACTTTTAAATGATACAGCAACACTTTCAAATTCTAAGCCACTTGGACCTATTAGAGAACTAACACAAAAATTACAGATCAAAATTAGAACCGGTTGTTAGCAGGGGACCAACGAGATAACTCTACACCGGGGAGACAAGGGCTGGTTAAGCTACCTGTGATCTCAAGTGAACTGAGTTGCAGTGTCTGGCATGTAGTAGGCGCTCAGTAAGTGGTTATTGAAGCCATGATCTCAAGGACTGAAACAATTATTCTCTCTCTCTCTTTTTTTTTTTTAAAGACTCCATTCATTTATTCACAAGAGACCTGGAGAGAGGCAGAGACACAGGTAGAGGGAGAAGCAGGCTCCATGCAGGGAGCCCGACGTGGGACCCCAGGATCGTGCCCTGGGCCGAAGGTAGGCCCTAAACCGCTGAGCCACCTAGGGATCCCCTGAAATAGTTATTCTCTTGGTAAAAATAGTGGAAAGGGAAAGCCCTGACATGGGGAAGCCAGGGTTCTAAGCTCAACTGTATGACCCTGACAGATATACACTCTCTGCTGCTCATCCCCCTCATCAGTAAGGTGTACAGGTATGGGTGTAGACCTCTAACTTAGGGCATGTGGATTGCTGGCCAAATGTGATCCATGCAACCTGGAGATTGGTTCTTGTTCCTTCTCTCTGGGCCTGTGTGTGTGTGTGTGTGTGTGTGTCTCTCTCTCTTTTTTAATATTTTATTTTTAAGTAATCTCTACACCCAATGTGGGGGTCACATTCAAGACCAAGATCCAGAGTTGCATGCTCCACCGACTGAACCAGCCAGGGACCCCTCTCTCTGTGTGTTTTAATCCAAGTAAAATTCATATAACATACAGCTAACCATTTTATTTTATTTTATTTTTATTTTTATTTTTAAAGATTTTATTTATTTACTCATGAAAGACACAGAGAGAGGGGCACAGACACAGGCAGAGGGAGAAGCAGGCTCCATGCAGGGAGCCCGACGTGGGACTCGATCCCGGGTCTCCAGGATCACGCCCTGGGGGCGCTAAACCACTGAGCCACCGGGCTGCCCCAGCTAACCATTTTAAAGTAAACAATTCAGTAGCATTCAGGACATTCTCAGTGCTGTGCATACACTACCTCTGTCTAATTCCAAAACATTTTTATCACCCCCAAAAGAAATTCCACCACCTAAATAAGCAGTCACTCCCCATTCCCCCCTCCCCCAGCCCCTGGGAACCATCCATCTGCTGACCCTCTCTATGGAGTCCCCTATTCTGAACGTTTCCTATAAGTGGAGTCATACAGTATGGGACCTTTTGTATCCGACTTCTTTTCACTTGGCATAATGTTTTGAGGGTCATCCATGTGGCGGGATGTTCTTCATTCCTTTTCATGGCTGAATAATGCTCTGCTGAGTTGCCCTGCTAATACATATATATTTTTAAGCAAAATTAAAATTCATTACTTACTTTTCCAGAAACAGAGAGACCAACTGTCTCTACTAGCCCTTCGCCATATTATGTAACCACAGCCCGTTGGGCAGAATGTTGCACTAACAGGATTGGACCTATTAGTCACTGTAGTCAAAGCCAACTCTAATTAATCAGATAATGGAAGCCGGTCCAGTTTAATTCCACTCAAATAACATCATGACATCTGGGCACTATCAGGGATTATTGGCAGAAGAGAATAGACAAATATGATTAAAGCCTCTGAATGGATTTGATTCCTGTCTGCGGCATGCCATGGACCACTGTCGTGAAGGGCCAACCTCCCTGCTGCCCTCATCAGTAGAACCCCCCCACGGCCGGCGTCACAGTGGGGAAAAATGCTCTGCTCTGGGGCCTTTCCAACTCCCAAAATACGTGATTCCGTGATTCCGTGGGTCCTTAGTTTACTTCTGCCCAGAAGTGCTCAGATTTCTGCATCTAGAGACATTTGGGGAAAACCTCCAGTGTATGTGACAAGTCAGCTGAACCGTCATCAGGAGCGCCCCCCCAGGGCAGTGAGGACGGGGTTTAGATTCAGAGGGACCCTTGAGACCTCACACAGGAAGTAGTCACAAAAGCTAGCTTGTGGTTGAACCCCCAGACATGGGCATCTGGAGAGCCAAGGTTATGGGTTCTGGATGCGGGGGTAAGAGTTGAGCTTCCTTTGGGTCTCTTATTTCATTTCATTTCTTTTTAAGATTTAATTTATTTATTTGGGGTGGCTGGGTGGCTCAATGGTTGAGTGTCTGCCTTGGGTTCAGGTTGTGATCCTGGGGTCCTGGGATCAAGTCCTGCATTGGGCTCCCCACAGGGAGTCTGTTTCTCCCTCTGCCTGTATGTCTGCCTCTCTCTGTGTGTCTCTCGTGAAAAAAATGAGAGACAGAGAGAGTGAGCATGAACAGTGAGCAGAGGGAGAGGGATAAACAGACTCCCTGCTGAGCAGGGAGCCCAACTCGGGGCTCCATCCCAGGACCCTAGGATCATGGCCTGAGGCCAAGGCAGACGCTTCACCAACTGAGCCACCCAGGTGCCCTCTTCTTCGGTTTCTTTTACTCTTTCTCAGGGGTAATGGGAGAAACCAAGGGACCCTCAGTAGGAAGGGAAGGAGCAGAGTAGATTTTTTTAAAGCAGTGGCAGCTACGTGAATGAAGTGCGAAGGGAAGAAAGTGGAGATGTAGAACTACACAAGGTAGTCGAATGGAGTCCTTTGGAGGTCAGGTCAGAGAAGCAAAGGGATGAACTCTCAAAGCCATGGTTTACTCAACTGAAAAATATGACTAATAATCAAAAAGCACTTCTCCCTTATAAGTGAAATCAAAGACTATCTGTCTTTCTTTATCTGGCTTATTTCACCTAGCATAATACCCTGTAAGTCTGTCCAAGTTGTCGCAAATGACAAGATTTTATTCTTTTCAGTGGCTGAGTGATACTCCATTATATATTTAGATATATGTATATATATGTCGCATCTTTATCCATTCATCTATCGATGAAAACTTGGGTTGATTTCATATCTGGGGTATTGTAAATAATGCTGCAGTAAACCAAAGAGAACCTATATCTTTCTGAATTAGTGTTTTCATTTTCTTGAGGTGGGCACCCAGCAGTAAAATTACTGGGTAGGATGGTACTTCTATCTCTAGGGTTTGTTTTTTTTTTAAGATTTTATTTATTTAAAAATAAATAAATAAATAAAATGTGTCTCTCATGTGACACGTGAAACACACAGAGAGAGAGGCAGAGATATAGGCTAAATAAATAAATAAATAAAATGTGTCTCTCATGTGACACATATGAGACACACACAGAGAGAGGCAGAGATAGAGGCAGAGGGAGAAACAGACTCCCTGGGGGGAGCCTGATGTGGGACTCAATCCCAGGACCCCAAGATCACGACCTGAGCCAAAGGCAGATGCTCAACCACTGAGCCACCCAGGTATCTTCAAGGTTTTGTTTTGTTTCTTTTTTTCCCCCCTTATGCTACATTTATTTATTTATTTATTTAGTAAACTCTACCCCTATTGTGGGGCTTGAACTCCCAACTCCAAGATTGAGAGTCCTACACACTACCAAGTGAGCCAGACCAGCACCTGAGCTATCTTTAGTTTTTTGAGGAAACTTCACATTGTTGATCCTGGTGGTCACGCCTATTTACATTCCCACCAAGAGTGTACGGTGGTTTCCTTTTCCCGACATCCTCTCCAACACTTGTTATTTCTTTTCTTTTTGATACTAGCTGTTGTGATGGCATGATACACTATTGTGGTGAGCATTCTATAATGTATATAATTGTTGAACCACTCTATTGTACACTTGAAACTAATTTAATATTACATGTTAATTATACTTCAATTAAAAAAAAAACAGGGGATCCCTGGGTGGCTCAGTTGTTTAGCGCCTGCCTTTGGCCCGGGGCGCGGTCCTAGAGTCCCAGGATCGAGTCCCGCATTGGGCTCCTGGCATGGGGCCTGCTTCTCCCTCTGCCTATGTCTCTGCCTCTCTCTCTCTCTGTGTCTATCATGAATGAATAAATAAAATCTTAAAAAAAAAACACTTCCCACTATAAGGTGCCAACAGAAAAATGTCAGCATTGGTTGCACATACTGGTGATGCCATTGAAGAATCAGGATGTCCCACTCCACAATATGCTACTTTGGAATAAGGACTATTTTGGACTGATGGCAATTGTGGATCAACAGATGCAGGAAGGGTTCTCTGGCCTCCCCTTATCTGCCTAAAAGCAGAGCATAAATTTCCTCTTGTACCAGGCAGAGGAGAGCAACTTAGCACTGGAGACGGAGAGCACTGAGATGAGTCTGCATAATCAGATGTTACTAAAGTAACACTTATCTTCCATCTGTTCCCCCATATATATCCTAGTCACTTCCCTATAATTTATCATCCTTTGAAGCCCAAACCCCCTTTCCTTTGTTAAAATGGTATATATGCCTCCAAGTCTAACCACCTCTTTGAGTTTTGCTTCTTTCTGTGAATTCCCATGAAAGAATATTAATAAATATTGTGTGCCTTTTCTCCTGTTAATATGTCTTTTGGTGGTTTAATTTGCAGGCCCTCATGAATGAACTTCAGAGTGTAGAAGAAGTTTTTCCTCCCTTATACCATGTACCTTACAACATGGATGGACAACCCTGAGGGGTGCTCCGCATTTTGCCACTGTGCCTCCTCACAGCTTGATTCAATGCCTCGGTATTGTAAGAATTGGCCAAAGCTATTTTTCTGATGGCTGTCCACTAGAATTGTTTAGTAAATACCTGTTGACTCATTGGCTGAGGACATGTTAACAGGAATTAGCAGGGAACAGCTTTCTTCTAAGGAGTTTTAGTCACAGACTCAGATTGCAAAAGGGAGTAGAAACAGGCAGATGGTGAGGTGGGGCTTGGAAGAACAGAAAACGTGTTTGCTGAGAAGTTTCCTGAAAATTGTCAGAAGCACAAATGGTAACTTTGTTAGTTTCTTTCATTTTCCGTAAGACGCAAGGAAGCTCACCAGTGTAAAAGAATCTTAATGCAAACTATTGACTGATTTGAAGAGTGGACTATCTGGTCCTTTAGAAAGGATGTATCTCATCAGAAAAATATTCCAAGGCAGGAATTTTGTGTAGCGAATGTAGATGACAAAGTCTCTTGACTGAAATCCCCAAAGACATGTGGGTGAAATTTTAGTTCCCAGAGTAAGTGTGTTATTAAGCCTCCAGAGAAGGACAGTACATGACACATCTTAAAAAATATTTGGGCATTGTATAGAGAAGATGAACCACTGCCTTGTTCACCTGAAACGAATGCAACACTGTGTGTCAACTCAACTAGAATAAGAAAACTTTGCTTTTTTTTTTGAAAGATTTTATTTATTTATTCATGAGAGACACACACAGAGAGAGAGGCAGAGACACAGGCAGAGGGAGAAGCAGGCTCCCTGCAGGGAGCCCAACGTGGGACTTGATCCCGGGACTCCAGGACCACGCCCTGGGCCGAAGGCAGCCGCTCAACCACGGAGGCACCCAGGTGCCCCAAGTAAGAAAAGCTTAAAGAGATATTTAGGGATCTTAGTGGGGGCCTCTGATTTAATATCTCAATTGCGCAGTACCAGGCAGGACAAGAAACAAATTGTGTTTTACGTCTTAAATGAGAAATAACATGGTTACCAAAGGTTGCTATTTTAGTGTGGCTCCGAAGCCACTGCGATGCCAGCAGGGAGATGCTGGGACCATCCTTCCCAAGGCGAGAGCAGAGCGAGGTTACCCGTCGCTGCAGAGCCTGAAGCTGACCAGGCCGGCCGTGCAGGCTGCGGAGGTCCGCGGCCCGGTGCTGAGATGCCACCTCTGACCACCTCTGACCATCTCGGAGATGGGCCCGTTTGCTCCGGGGTCAGACTAGAGGAGGAGCCCGTAGGGGGTCGTGTTCCCCCACCTCCCCGGCCTCCCCACCTCCCGAGGTGGCTCACACCACGGAGGACACAGTGCAGAAAGGAAAAAAAAAAAAAGAGCACTGGATCAGGAATACACACACACACGAATAGGAAAAGTTTGGTCAGCTGGAAAGGAAGGAGCAAAAGGGGGAGGGAAAAAAGAGAAAAATGCAGCGTGGCGCGTCCTTGTGGTCAGCGGCGAGAGTCGGGGCAAACTGGCTGTTCTTACTCGCCGTGCGCAGAAGTCGCGGCCAGGCCAAGGGCAGATAAAGGAATCCGAGGCCGGCGGCCAAAGACCGGAGGTCAGACTCCGGAGGAGTTCAGAAGTTCAGGAAAATAAAGCGGATTATCGCTGAAGGGTTCTGTGAACCAGAGAAGGTGGGACGACAGGAAGCCCTGGGCGTGGCCGGGGCGAGGGGGCGGGGCGGGGGCGGGAGAGGGGGAGATGGGCGGGGCAGAGAGGGGAGATTGGAGGGGCGGGCAGAGAGGGGAGGGGGGCGGGGCACAGGGGAAATGGGCGGGGCGGGTGGGGAGGGGCGGGGAAGAGGGATGATGGGCGGGGCAGAGAGGGGAGATAGGCGGGGCGGGTGGTGAGGGGGCGGGCAGAGAGGGGAGATGGGCGGGGCGGGGGGAGATGGGCGGGGCGGGGGGGGCGATGGGCTGGCTCACAGCCGGTCTGGGGTGCAGGGTGCTGGGAGCGAGGCAACCTCAGGTCCGCGGGTGGAGGTGGGCCGGCCTTGCTTCTCACAAAGCGCTTCATCAACCAAATTAGCTCCTTAAAAAAAAAGAAAAAAAAAGAGGTTGGAGAGGACGGTGGAGGACGATTTCCAGGCAGGCTCCATTTTCCTACTCTGGGAGAGCAAATTCTTTCTGCCATGGCCTTCCCGTGTGTGTTCCAAGTGTGTCAGTGCTCTATGTGTACGTGCATGCATGTGCACACGGTATGTATATGCAAGTGCATGTGCACATAAGTGTGTGTACACACACGCACACACACACTTCCGTTTTACATAAAACCGTGGCTGATGAGAGAAGGCGCTCAGAGCCGCATGGAACAAAGGAAGCCGCAGAGGTAGCTCTGCGCTCCTGGCAGCCCCCCACCCTGCAGGACCCCCCCCCCCCAGAGTCCAGGCGACTAGGAGATAGTGAAAAAGATGGAGAGGTAGTAAGTGGGGTGTGGGCAGGGCAAATCAGAGAGCCGAATTACTGCCCAGAACAGGAGACACAAATCAGCAGGAAAATATTGACGGCGAGGAAGAAAAAGGGAAATTTGTGTAAATGGTGAATGTGAAAGATCAAATGGAGACAAACACACAAGTTCAAGAATAAAATCTAAAGCAGAAGGCCAGGCAGGCCCTAATCAAAGCCTGAAGCAGGAAGGCCCGTGGAGGGAAGGGAAGAGAGTCACAATGCAGATAAAAATTAGGATAAATAAAAACGGATGAAAAGAATTTTGTAAAGATACAATTTTTAGTATGCTCAAGTTTCAAGGCTTTCTTAAGATGAAGCAGACGGGACACAATATTTAGACTTTTATTTTTTTAAAGATTTTATTTATTTATTCATGAGAGACACAGAGACAGAGAGGCAGAGACACAGGCAGAGGGAGAAGCAGGCTCCATGCACCAGGAGCCCAACGTGGGATTCCATCCCGGGTCTCCAGGATCGCGCCCTGGGCCAAAGGCAGCGCTAAACCGCTGAGTCGGGGATCCCTGGGTGGCGCAGCAGTTTGGCGCCTGCCTTTGGACCAGGGCGCGATCCTGGAGACCCGGAATCGAATCCCACGTCGGGCTCCCGGTGCATGGAGCCTGCTTCTCCCTCTGCCTATGTCTCTGCCTCTCTCTCTCTCTCTCTGTGACTATCATAAATCAATAAAAAAAAAAAATTTAAACCGCTGAGTCACCCGGGCTGCCCCAATATTTAGACTTTAAAGGCCGAGTTTAGAGCTTGAAAGGTAAGAAGGAAGACAAAGAATGTGTTTTTTGTTCAGCTAGACTTACTGTTGATTTAAGAAAATAATAATTTTCAATATTTGGTCATAAGGTTTTGAGGCATTCTTAGAAATTTGAAATGATAGCCAAAAGGGAATTCAGAGATAATTTTTAAAATATATATTTATTTATCCAAGAGGGAGAGAGAGCAAGCAAGACAGAGCAGGGGGGAAGAGGGAGAGGGGCACAGGGAGAGGAAGAAGCAGGCTCCCCACTGAGCAGGGAGCCGGATGTGGGGAGGGGGGGCAGGCTCCATCCCAGGACCTATTGTGCCCAAGATTGCGAATCCGAGAAACCACCAAGGAGGGGATCCCTGGGTGGCACAGCGGTTTAGCGCATGCCTTTGGCCCAGGGCGTGATCCTGGAGACCCGGGATCGAGTCCCACGTCAGGCTCCCGGTGCATGGAGCCTGCTTTTCCCTCTGCCTCTCTCTCTCTCTCTCTCTCTCTCTCTCTGACTATCATAAAAAAAAAAAAAAAACCACCAAGGAGCCGATACCGATGCAAGCGCATGAGGGTTTATTTGCAAGCTCCAGCTTGGGTCCAAGCATCCCGGACACAGCAGACCAGGGACTTGGACCCCGAAGTGGGTTACAGCTGGGTTTTTTATAGGCTGGTCTAGGGGATTTTCAGAAGGGGTGGAGGAATTTCAAGTTCTGTTTACATTATGATATGGGGCTTTCAAGGGCATTGAGCTCTGTTCTCATTCTAATATGGGACTTTCTACCACGGGGGTGGGCTCTGTTGTCTTTCTGATATAGGATTCCCTGCCAAGGACATTCTGCAGTTTTTCCTGTGAAGTTCAGCTCTTATTCACAGGGGCCAAAAATGGCTGTACTTGTGCTAATGCTAAACTTTAGGTGGAATGGCCTTAATTTTTCTCAGCCTCCACAGACCCCAGGATCATGACCTGAGCTGAAGGCAGATGCTTAACCGAGTGAGCCACCCAGGTGCCCCCAGAGATCATTTAAAAAAAAAAAAACCAGCAGTCTATATACTCTCTTTCCCTCAATCTCTCTTTCACATACACTCAGATATTCTTTCTCTGAAACATGTGCAGACATCATGATGCTTCGGTATGTTTTTCTGCCGAGTAAGGACATTCCCCTCCATGCCCACCAAACCACCATCCCCTAAGAAAACTGGTAATAATTCCATAGTAGCTAATGAGCCATCATATCAACAATGCCAAGAATAGTTTCAGTTGTTTTTCCTTTTTTTTTTGGTAAGAATCCAACCAAGGTCAGCCATCACATGTGCTTGCTTTGTCTCTTGGGAGTCTGTAGACCTTCTAGCCCAACCTTGTCATTTTGGCCATGAGAAACATTCTGTCGGGATAAGGTGATTTGGGCTCAAGGCCATTGCACAGCACGCACTCCATTTTACGTAAGCAAGATTTCGTGGTCAAGAGAGCTTTAAGTTTTAAAATCCTTTTAAAATGATGAGTATCAAAAGTGGCATCACAGCACAGGAATGACTACTCCTCCCAGCAGGACTGAGCCCTCTCACGTGTCACATAGTATAGGGACACTTGCATTCCGTAGTTCAGTGAATGCTTCTGCAAACCCCCGGGGTGACAGCATGGAGAGCTGTGGTCCCTGTCGGTCTCTGTCTGTCCCTGTCACATAGGAGAGGCTCAGCGCTCTTTGCCAGTCTGCCCGAGGCCTGGTGGCTGGTGGACAACCCGGGTGGAACCTCGCTGAGCTTCTCTCCCGCTTTTCTGCCTGGACCCTCGGAGCGCCCACCCATGCTGCTGCTTCTGAGTCTCTCAAGACCTTATCTGCGAACAACACGAGGTAAAATCTTCAGCCTTT